GCCCGTACGTAAGCCCCGGGGAGTCCTGGGCAGCTGAATTTGAAATCTTTTTGTCATACACAGGTAGGGAACATTCCTCCAAGTTCTCAGCTTTCTAGCTTTTCTCGTTCCCAAGTTATCAGTTTTCGCGCCAAAACTTTCACGTGCTCGTACGCGGGGCCCAGGCGTGCATGCGAGTTGATATTGCGGTCCTGGGGTGGCACTTGGCTGGGGAACACACTGGCAAAATTTCAGCCTCAAAGCTTACGTGGTTGGCGAGTTGAAACACCCGGACAGACGAACACACACACACAAACACACAAACATACACGCACACACACTGACAGGGTCGTTAACTACAAAGCTGAAATTGTAAGGGGATGTCCTCTGCCCATGTAGGACCTGACGACTTCAAATTCAGCACTCAGTGTGCGTAATTTCCACGTACGGGCCCGTGAAATTTTTGTTGGGTAACTTGCTGATTTGGAAACCAGAAAATTTAGAAAACTGGGATTTTGAGGGGGTATTTTCTAAAAGTCATGGTGACCAGTCTCAGTTCTTTTAGCCAGGAGCATCTGCCAGAAAAAACACAGTGCCGTTAGCAACAAAAACTCGCGGGGAATTGTGCAAAAAAGGCATCTTTGTACGGACAGTCGATACACTAGCTAATTATTTTGCGCTTTGCATCTTTATGCAAATGCAAAAACATGTTTTCGAGAGGTTGTAATATGTATTTATGTGTGTTCACGTTTTTTACATTTTCAGCTGTGCAACCCAAAAAGCTAAGGAGCTGGAACTTTTAAAATTTTTAAGTTTAGTGCAAAAACGTATGATCTCACCACTAACCTGGTACGTTCCAGCTTAGAGTTTGCCATGCATTTTTGGACTTATAAATCTAAAACCTAGGCCTAGCTGTTCTGGTTGAGTTAACAGCCACCCTGCCAGAACTTTCAAGGGGCTTAGATACGTGTGAAGGTTGATACCGCGCTGCTGGGATAGCGCTCAGCCAGAGAACCCACTGGGAAAATTTTTTCAGTCTCAAAACTTGCATGGTTTTCGAGTTGAGATACCTGGGCAGACAGACACACAAACACACGCATAACTGCACACACACACACATTCAAACATACACAACATAAATACGCCAGATCGCACAGTAAGTGGCCATGCGCATCAGAGGGTTGGTACGGTCATAGGGTTTCAAGATAGGGTACGTGAACACGGTAGATGCATGCACCGGTATGTGTAAAAAGGAACTGTGCTGTGGCTTGCAAATCTTTGGCGAGTTTGTTAATTGTTGAACGACGAAATACTCAAGTTCTGTCGTTCCCAGCATTTGAACGTGAATTGTCACGGTCGAGAGGCATTATGGGGGTTGAATTGTTGTTTTCAGCGGCCCAACTCCTTGCATAAATTTGTTTGTTTCAAATTTGGCTTAAGTGATTTTTCCACTTGGCTCTGTGTTTGAGTTTTTCGTGTGCCATGGCGAAGCAATGCGCTGCTAGCATAACTTGAAACACCTGCTATCACTGCCTTGCAAATAAACAATTAAAAAATAGTAGAGTTATAAATAAGCAAAAAGTTGGAGTGAAATGTTTTGCAAGGAGGTGCAAACTGAGGATAACATCAAAATTCTCTGATTTTTTAAGCCAAACAGGCAACAGTTTTTCCGAATAATGACTCAGCGGCTAGCACAGGGAAAGAGCACGGCTGGAGAGTGTGAGAAGGGGATCCGAAAAATCGCAAAAAGTTGAAAACAGCAGTTATGTTACTTGCGAAAGCGTGACCCGGATTTGTTGTGTTTTGAAGAAAAGTGCAACGACGCCGACCGTGGAGAGGACGTTGAAGACCAGGCAGAAGCCGCAGCGATTGCAAGCAAAAAGCAGCAACGAGGGGACAGACGGTACCTCGGAGACGTCGTCTTCGCTACCACGGCCTACTGCTGCTGCTACTGCTACTGCTGACACCACCGATTGGTTAGTACACACAGTTGACGCGTATCGCTTGCATCCGCCTGCTTGAACGTATGCATGCATGCGTGTATTGGAGGAGAGCGTGGAAATTGGCTGGATTCATTTCAGTCAGTGTCAAATTTGTGCGCGGCACCATTATTGCTCACAGCGAGGCATGCAAATTTCGGTTGGCGCTATGCAAATTGCGTGGCTGATTAAAGTAGGCAGCGTTGCCCGGTTGTTTTGCATTGTTCCCGCTCGCGCACCACTGGACCGGCTGCGTGCTTTCATTCATCAGGTTTACAACTGTTGCTTTGTTTCAGCGTGGATGAGGCTCGTCTGGTGCTGCAGATCGAGAAGCTGCTCTCCCAGGAATCGGCCGTGGGGAAGTGCGCCGCGCTTGCCACCCAACATGCCAGTAAGCTGTCTCAACAACCCAAATACGGGCGCTCGTTTTTTGCGCTGAGAATAATTGCATGTCCTCTCTCTCACGTACACAGTACCCGCTGCTGGCCCGTATCCCTGGATGCCGGGGCTACTCGCTCGCTCGCCAGCCTACGGGCGCGCGCCTTCGCGTACATGGTCTTCCTGACTCTCCCTCCCTGTGCTTGTGTGCGATTGGTGCGCGGGACGCGCCTCCCTTGCCTACGTGCCTTCCTGGATCTAGGAGGCTGTGGGCGCGCGAACTCATAGCTGTGCTGGATGGGCTGCCTGCTGGTCGGCAGCTCACGTGGCTGCTCGATGCATTGTTTACACGCGTCTTCCTCGCTGGTCAAGCTGTTGCTATTGGCCATCGCCGTACACCTCCCTGGTTTCTAGTTTTCTACTTGTCCACCTGTCTCTGTTAGAATGCGGGTGCACCTCGGTGGGGTACCTCGGATGTGTGCTGGCTGTCCCTGTGTTTTTTTTTTGTGGCTGACTAGCGAGTTATATGCCTTCGTTGCATTTCGCTGGCCGGCTACGTGCTTTCTTATGCGCTTCCGTGGAATTCCGGCTGATTGCCCTGTAGCGCGTGCGGTCGTAGCTCTGGCCGAACGTGATGGGCCCACGTCTGCTCGGGGTACTTAGGGGGTGTGCTGCAGGCTGTCTGGCTGCTAGGTGGCTGTCTCGCGCTGCTCGGTAGGTACGCCTTTGTGTTGGTGTCTTTGTGTGCGCCGGTTGTATCGCTGCGCAATCTAGTCCCGTTCATTTCTGCTGCGACTGGTCCTCACTTTAGTTCACGATCTTGCTATCGAGCTTCTTGGGCGAAGAATGCACGCAAAGGCACGACGAAAGGCTACCGCCCAGCTTGTGCGACTGCTGAAGCAGGCCACAGCCAAGCATGAGAGCGATGAATGCAGCGCACCCATAATGTTGAACCGCATCACCGGTAATACTGTTTTCATGCATCGTTTTCTTTTTCGCTTTTTTTTTTTGCTATTTCTAATCACACGCGGGCGCATTTCACCCGTTTCTCTTCATTTTGCTGTTTTCACATAAATCAAACAACCTCACAGCATTGGGACTCTACTCGTCTGTGCAGTTGAGCTGGCGCAGCAGCGAAGACGAAATCTCAAAAACATTAACCTTGGCCCCGCATAATTTTGTTCAGCTCCCTCAAGTCTTTCCCCAATTTTTATGCGCGTCTCCCAAATTCGCTTTCTTTTGCAAGGTAGAAGTGAACGGCTGAATTCGCTAGTCGGAATTTTAGACTTCTTTATATCCTGTTTACTGTATGAAACCACAATTCAAGTGATATTGTAATTGCAGACCCAAGGTATCATCTATCCATTCTTTAGCTTGATTTTTCTCTTGAATCAAAGCAAATTGCTTGAAATAAGCTTTCGCAGGCCTCTGTCCTCTCCTATTCTTCGAATCCTAATTCAGGCCAATAAATAAATCCGTGTGTGTAAAATTTTT